TGAAATCAAACTTTACCTATGCTATACTCCCATAACTTTTAGTGGATCTTACTTGCAATTTTTATAAATTTTTTCAATATTTTGTTTTGCATTAAAAATAAATATAAACCTTTTTTTAAAAAAAAATAAAGTATTATTAAATAAATAATGTTTTTGAATAAATTTTAACTTTGTATAATAAATTAAAACTTTATTATTTGTTAAAAGAAAGATATAATAAAGCTTACCATTTAAATTAAAAGTTTGGAAAACTTTTTAAAGTATCTTTTTTTATTTACTTTTATTTTTTTATATATTTTATTTATATAGGTTAATTTAACTTTATTCAATTTTATCATATAAATTACTTATAGTATCTGAATTTTTAAAATCAATTATAAATTTATAATATAAAAAAATAAATAGGTAATCAAAAACAATAATTTTTTGTAGTGTTAAAGGTAAATTATGTATATAATTCAATGAATTTGTATTACATTATAACCTTATTTTTTATAAAATTGTGTTTTATAATATTTTATTATAATTTTATATTTATTTTTATTTTATTAAAATACATCATATTTAATTGCTTAAGTCAATGATGGGTTTTAGACATATTTTTTAATTTTGAATAAGATTTTAAATATTGAAATTGTATCTAAAACCTGTCCAAAACTATTCAAAATTTTTCAGTTTTCCAACACTAGCTTAAGTAATTCAATAGATAAATTATATTTAAAATAATATCATAAAGAAAAGTTATACTCAACTAAATATGGTATATAATTATTAAAAAATAATTATCTATATTATAGATTATATAAAATTATATAAATATATGTATAAATATATATTTTTTATAGTTCTGAAAGTAGGCATCTCCAGAAAATAAGCATCTATCATTAGTATAATATCTAAAAATAAGTATCTTTTTCTAAAATTAAAAATTGATTATATTAAGATTCAATTAACTTTATTAAAAGATAAAAAATATCATTTTATATATTTATTTATATTATTGTTAACATGCGATTTTGGTAGATCATTACAGTTAAACAAGATGTTCAAGTGTTGTTTCTTTTATAGGTAGCTTACTAAATTCATTAGAATAATCGTAATAATATATCTATTTTAATTAAAGAATACTTAATTAAAGATAAAATATGTTTATTAAGAAAATAAAATAAAAGAAAATAGAGAACAATGAGAACATTAGCACCAGGTTAGAGAAAATCTAACTTCCTGCCTTTCTAATAAATATAAACCATCCTATTTATATAAAACAAATTACATATAATAATAATTTAATTATATTATCATTATTAAATATATTAAATATATCAAATCTATAAAAAATATTTAACATTTTTGACATTCTTAACATTTCTAACATTTCTAACATTTACAATATTACATATACAAATTAATTTATAAATCATCTAGTAGATTAATTCTGTATAATTGTTTGTACAATTTCTCTAGTAGATCAATTTAGTAAAACATGTTGATCATTTACTTTGTAATCCTGCAACATTATTAATATATTTTTCTCTTAATCATCTTTCAAATAATCACTATCTATATTATTTTTCAAATCACCAACATCGATAATTTCTAAATCACTATCAATTTCTTTATCAGAATCCTTTACATCAATCATTTGATATACTACAAGTTTTAAATGAATCAATGATGATTTGATTAGAAATACCCTTTTAAGAATATTTTACCTATCCACAAACATCGCCAAGTTTAACATATCAAAGGTTACCTGCAGCCAGTGATGTACATTTTCAATGTCCCAAACATTTTGAAACTGTTTCACACTATGTCCCAAAATATTTCACATTAAATTCTAATATTCCAGGCCATATCCCAAAAATGTCCCATGACAACACTACCTGCAGCTATTTGTCCAGTGTCATCAGCAGCTATCCAGATATACTATTTCTTATGTAAGCTAGCTTTAAATAGTTTATTTATTACTATATCAAGTAGCTGATATAAACTTATCAAACCATCCGGTATAATAGCTAAATCAAATCCATAATCGTGAAATTTCCTTTTAATTGATTCTTTTAAATGGTCTCAAAAAGAATTGTAAACCATTAATTTTAGTATCTTAGTTTTAGTGTTAACCTTATTTTTAAGATAATTAATATATTGTTTTATTAGGTTATCATCTATCTATTTATTCTTTTAAAACTAAACAAATACATCAGGAGGTATATTTTTGCCTTTTAATAATTGTTTCCCTTTAAAGACAAATCAGAGAAAACTTTGTCTCATCTGCAATTAAAAAATTTTGGTTGTTAAATCCCTATAAAATTTGCAAAATGATTATTATAATTAAAAATTAATTATATATTTTATAATTAAAACTATAAAAACAATTACAGAAGTTTTTTAAATATATATAATAATTTATTAAAAAAAATATAAAAAAAACAGATATAATATTATATATTATATAATAATAATAAAGTCTAAAAACAGAGTTAAAATCTTTAATCAAAATTATAAGCTTTAAAATTAAAATTAGAACTTTTAAAATTGGAATTATAAAATTCTAAAAAATAGATTATCACAAAAACTTAAAATCAGAAACTTAGAATTGGAATTGTTAAACTCAGTCTTCTCATGAAATTGAAAAAAAAACTGTTTAACTTATCTGCAGCACATGTTAAAATTACTGTAAATCAGTTATTATTATTACTGGTACTATAAATTTGAACAGTTTTTTTCCCTTTTTGACTAACTATAAAATTTTCTACCATGTCGAACTATACAAAAGTTTCATTTATGTTAAAGATGTTGTATAATTCAAAGGACTTTTTAGTTCTTAGACGAATAATAAACTGATGAAAATTGGCAAACAATTTTTCAATTTTTCAGTTTGTTCTAGAAGCTTTTGGGAGATTTTTGTACATCATTATCAAGACAATTTATGCTTTTCATAAATGCTGATATCTAACAGTTTGACATTTTGAAATTATCTGTAACATTTTCATAAAGTTCTACCATTTCCAATTTTTTAATATATCTAACATTTAAATTGTAATATTTCATAAGTTACTGCTAAACCTTACTTCCTTTGTTCTATAAGCTAATTATATAATTTTGCTTCTGCTTTAGAATAAAAGACTTTTCTACTAGTATTAACTCGTTTATTATTTTCACTTATTTTAACTATCCAATTTTCACTTACTTTAACCTAACGTCTGATCATACTACCATTAAAGTCAAAATTTTTTGCAGCTTTATTTCTTCCATATTCTTTTGCAATAGAAAGGAAGAAAATTCTAAAAAAAAATTTTTTTTGAGTTAATGTTAAATCTGAACTTATTTTACAAAAAATAATCATAATTAGTTTAGAAAGTAAAATTTTAATTTTTTAGAGTTTTCTCCCTTTCTATTGTAAAGCTTCTATATATATATAAAAAAAATCAATTTATATGGTATAATGTATCATTAATATAAAATTATAAATTTATTATAAAATTTTGTGATTTATTTAATATTTTGTATAATATTATAAATCATTATTTTTAAGTTGTAAAATTTTGATAATTTATATTTTTTTAATATTTTTTATGTTTTTAAAGTATATATAGTAAATTAGTTTCAGGTTATTTTTAAGTAAACTTTTACATAAACTGATAAACTGGCTTGAACAATCAGCTGATTTATTTCAGCTTGGCTTAAGTCAAAAATATAATAAATTAAACCAATTTGATAACTAAATGAGGTAGCTTATTTGGCTCACATTATTATAAAATTTAAAAAATACTTTATAAAAATTAGATATATTTTTAAAAGATTTTTTTTAATTTAACAGTTTTTGAAAAAATTTTCTTTAAGAGAAAATATTTCTAAAATGATTTTTTTAAAAAAAATGTTTTCAAAATATTTTTCTTTGAAAGAAAAATACTTTTGAAATATTTATCTTGAAGAAAAATACTACTAAAATAATATTTTTAAAAAAATATGCTTCTAGAATATAAAATTTAAAAAAAATATTTTCAGAATATTTCTTTTAATAAAAATGCTTTCAGTATATTAATTATTCTTAAAAAAAAATGTTAACAGTATATTAAAATTTAAAAAAATACTACCAATGTGTTAAAATTCAAAAAAATGTTACCAGTATATTAAAATTTGAAAAAAAAACACTACTAGAGTATTGGCTTTAAAAATAATATGGCTGAAGTATTACTTTTGAAAAAAATTCTATTAGAATATAAACTTCAAAGAAAAATGCTACTAGAACATTTCTTTTAAAAAAAATACTTCTAGGGCATTAATTTTAAAAAATATGCTATTAGAGTATTAATTTCAAAGAAAAATTATTTCTAAAGCATTAGATTTGAAAATTATGCACTGATAATAATTTCTTAAAAAAATACACTCCAGTAGCATTTTTTTCAAAATTAATATACTAGTAGCATTTTCTTTGAAGTAATGCATTAGTAGCATTTTTTCAAATTCTAATACAGTATTTTCTTCAAATTTTAATGCTCTAATAGCATTTTTTTTTGAAGTTAATACTCTAATAATACTTTAAAGTTAATGTATCAGTAGTATTTTTATCAACTTTTAATCTTTGATAGCATTTTTTTTAAAGTTTATATACTGGTAACATTTTTTTTAAAATTTATGTTTTAGTAATATTTTTCTTTAAAAAAAGTACTTTAGTATAATTATTTTCAAAACTAATATTCTAATGAAGATTTTCTTTAAATTTTAATGCTCTAGTAGTATTTATCTTTAAAAAAAATGCTCTAAAAGCATTTTTCTTTGAAGTTTAACACTTTAAATATGTTTTCTTCAACCGAAATATTACTAGCTGATTTTGAAAAAATTTATAAAAATTGCAAGTAAGATCCACTAAAAGTTATGGGAGTATAGCATAGGTAAAGTTTGATTTCA